GTCTCTCTGCTTCTCTTTCTTTCTCTCTCCATTTCTCTTTCTCTCTCTCTTTCTCAATGCCTCTATTTCTATGTGTCTGTCTCAATGCCTCTCTCTCTCTCTCTCTCTCTCTCTCTCTCTCTCTCTCTCTCTCTCTCTCTCTCTCTCCCTCTCTCCCTCCCTCTGTTTCTCTCTATGTCTCTCACCGTGTCTGTCTCTGTCTTTTGTTTCTCTCTCTCTCTCTCTCTCTCTGTCTCTGCTTCTCTTTCTTTCTCTTTCTCAATGCCTCTATTCCTCTCTATGTCTTCTCTCTATGTCTATCTCTGTCTCTTTGTCTCTCTTCCTCTCCCTCTCTCAGTCAAGAAGAGTAAGGATAAAGAACAGCCTATTAGATCTGGTAGTTATAATATTGCTGGTGACTTTGGAGAGAGAAGTTTCGATTGAATAATAAGATCAGAAACCAGATTGGAGGGAGTTACTATGAGTGATTCAAGGAATCAAATTTTTTAGTGCTGGATGAGTCATCTAATTCAATTCCCCCATTTTACAGATGAGGAAATCGAAGCTCAGAGAGGAAAATGACTTGCCCAAGGTCCCACAGCTAGCTAGTGCAGAGCTAAGATTAGTCCCCCAAATCCTCTGATTCCCAATTCAGGGGATTAGTCCCCCAAATCCTCTGATTCCCAATTCAGGGTTTTTCCCTGCGCACAGTTCTGCCTTTTAGCATTGGCCTGCAGAATATCCAAAATGATGTAGTTGCAAGTCATGTTATGTTGGGGTTCTGGAGTGCAACATGAGGCTCCAACTCTAAAATTCATTCTAGATGAACACAGAGGAAGAAATGATCTGGCACCAAACTTGTGGGGTTTGTTCTTAAAAAAGAAAATTCAGACATTGTATGGGAATGTTCTTTCTTATTGTTTGCCCAGCCTCATCTTCTCTGGGCCTTTCATCTTGTTTTAGGCATCACGGTTATCTCAGAGGGATTGAAAGGATCTTTGCCAAAGTCATCCTTTCATCATTTCATAAAATTTTTTATTTTAGGATTAAAAAAATTCTAATGAACTTTAGTAAACATGAACATTTCCATATACAAAGAACAGAAAGAGGATTGTGTTTGATACCACTTTTAACAGGATCTCAGGGCTACAAGAGACTCGGGGTAATTTAGTGCAACCTCCCACTCAATGCAAGAATTCCCATTATAAGAACCCTGATGGATATTCTCCTTCTGCTGAGACAGTTCTAGTGATGGGGAGGTCACTGCCTCATGATTCGGCCCATTATATTTCCAGCTAGTTCTAGATGGAAAAAAGTCCATCATCATAAGTGATCTGCCTTCCTGTAATTTCTCCCTATCAGGCCTAGCATCCCTTTGGAGCTCTACAGAACCAATCTAGTCTCTTGTTCATGTTACAACACTTTTAAGGCAAGATAATCTTGTCCTTACTGGGTCTCCTCTCTTGTGAGCTAAAATATCCCCAGTTTCTTTCACTGCTCTGTTATATCTCCCTACTTCCTCTTCATTCTTCTGTTTGGGTACCGTTCTTCCAGTCAAGACTTGGTACCATCCCTAGCTGACCCTCCCCCACTCACACATTTGCTATCCCCAGTTCCACCATCTTGCATATATCTGGAATAATCGCATGCAAGATCCTCCTCAATGCTTGTCCCACTTTCCTAAAGCATTAGGTTAGGATGAAAGGGATGCAGATCTTGGCTTTCCCTATCATCTGTATTTGATGTTTACTTTCCTCTGTGTGGTTCCACTTCAAGTCTTTTGCAGGGCAGTAGGGGAAGGGAGGAGAGCAGAAAAGAAAAATAAATTATGTTCAAACAAAGGAGCTAATACTAAGCACTATATTTGACCAGTGTATTGATGGGTGTTTCATGTTGAAATGTAGGCTCCTGAAGGGGTAGAGTCATATTGCTTTATATAGAATCAGCATCTAGCGCCATTCCTTACATGATGACCTTAGGCATATCACCTCAATTTCTTCATCTAGAAAATGGGGACAATAATATTTGCACTATCTACCTTAGAAGGTTGTTGTGAGGATCCACTGATGAAAGGCAGGTAGTGGGTAGTGGGTAGAGATTTGGACTTGGAATCAGTAAGACTTGACTCATCACATCCTGCCTTAGATACTTAATTGCTATGGGCAAATCACCTAACAGATCTGTGCCTCAGTTTCCTCATCTGTAAAATAAAGAGGCTGGACTTTATGACTTTCTAAGGTTCCTTCCAGCTCTAAATCTATGATCCTATAACTTTATAAAACCGTAAAATGATATGTAAATGTCAGCTTTTATTTTGCTAAGCACTTAGTGAATGTTTATAGAATTGAATTTAAATCAACTGATGGACATTTAGGACATATTAAAAAAAAAGAAACAGGAAACTTTGCCAGACACTTTTTTAGGACGACTTTGGTGGAAAGTCCACAGCAAACTGGAACATCCTAGGTTCTCTTACTACCATTTGCCAATTTTAGGCTGGAAATTTTTAAAGAGTAATTATGACAGAGAAAGAAGCAAAGTTGGCTATTGTGTGTAAAGACTCTGTGACCTAGTGGACAGAATGCTGGACTTAGAGAGTCACGATGTCATTCTGACTCAGACACTTACCAGCTGTGTGACCCCAGGCAAAGTCACTTAACCCTGTTTGCCTCAGTTTCCTCATCTGTACAATAAGTTGGAGAAAGCAATGGCAAACCACTCCAGTATCTTTGCCAAGAAAATCCCAAATGGGGTCACAAAGAATCAGACATGACTGAAATGACTAAATGACAACAGAATTTTAGTTTCATCATCTGCATAATGAGATTAATAATCCCCTATAGTACAGTGTTGTTATTAGAGTCATATGTAAATAAAGTGCTATATATTAGTGCAAAGTACTGTGGGATAGTCAATAGAGAACTGACCTTGCGGTTAAGAAGACCTAAGTTCAAGTCCTGACTCTGAAATACACTAGCTATGTGATCAAAGATTAATTGCTCACTGCCCAAGGCAACTCTCTAAGAAGTTGGCAATCTGCTCTGGTGTTTTCACACTAGTAGTTCCCTCCATGAATGAAATCATGAGTCCCCAAAATACACATGTGTGTATTTACTTGTGTGTGTATATGTGTTGTTGTTCAGTAGTGTTCAACTCTTTGTGACCCCATGGACCAACTGTCTATGGGACTTTCTTGGCAAAGATACTGGAACGATTTGCCATTTCCTTTTCCAATTTTACCCAGGCAGGGGTTAAGTGACTTGCCAGGGTCACACAGTAAGTGTCTGAGGTCACATTTGAACTCTGGTCTCTCTGACATTAGGTCCAGTGCTCTCTCTACTTCACCACCTAGCTGCTGCATATATTGTGTGTTCATATATATTATATTTATAAATATGTAGTTAAATGAATTAAAAAGCATTTATTAACAGCTTACTATGTGCCAAGCACTGTGTTAACCCATAGGGGGAACCAAAGGCCATCCTTACCCTCAAGGAGCTTACATTTCAATTGGAGATACAATATACATATAAGGGAGTCGTGGCCAGGTAGGGATACTTTGGTTCAGAAAGTTATTGAGATGGTAAGTGGAGCCACAAGGGTATAGATTGAGAAATCCCATCCAAGTATATGTAATAATATATAATGTATGTAACATATGTATAATGTATTATGTAATGTATTATGTAATGTATAATGTATATGTAATAATGTATAATAGGGTGTAATGGTGGAGTTAATTTGCTCATAGTTCATGGTTCCAGAATTGGAGAGGAAAGAGAGCAAAGAAAGGGTTGGTGAAGTTGTGGAAAAGATGTGTGGAGAGGAGGAAGAGAAGGAAAGCATGTCTGGGGCTTTCCTAAAGTATCCATTTATTCATTTTACAAATATTTATTAAGGTCTTACTATGTGTAATGCACAGTCTTGGGCCCTGGAGGGAGATAACAGAGATAAATATGACATAGTCATTACCCTCAAGGAGCTTACAATCTCTGAGAGAAAATGAGTGATTATCAATATAGTACGATAAAAGTAATATCCCTGTGTTCGATCTTGGCAAGTCTGCACACATGTCACAGACTGAAAGGGGTTGGAAGATACTTGTTTATTGCCTCACTGGGCTGGAAGTCAGGAGACTGAGTTCTAGTTCTAGCTGCATGATCTTGGACCAAGTGTCTTAACCTCTTTTTCCTCAGTTTTCTCATCTTTAAAATGGGGATAATTACCATCCTCTCAGTAATGACTTGAGAGTGAGATGACATCATGGACTGGAAAACCTGATAAATATCTAGAAGCACTATCTGGATGCCAATGGGATTATTAACATGAACAGGAAAGATAACACAATACCTTATTTTTACAACACTTTTCAGACTTCTCCCTCTACTTTGCAGTACACATATGACCGCAGCATATAGTATATGTATTTGCCAAGTAGGGTGAAGAATCTATAAATGGAGATGTGAAGGGCCTAAGGTGATGGTATTCTGGCTATTGAGGGAGAAAAGAAGTGAATAGTGATAGAGAAGCTCTAGCCCCAATCTACAGCCCATCTATTCCCCATTAACAGTGCTTCCTAGGAAAGACTATGGAGCCAGCTGGTCCGGGCCACTTCCTTTATTAGCCCAGCTTTTGTGATAGATATGTTCACAGAGATCATTCATTAAGAACATCGTGGAGTAAATTGATCTTGCAGCATCATTGAGTAGAAAGATCACTAGGTCAGAGGACCTGGGTTCGAGTCTCTACTATTTATTACTTTTGTGCCCTTAAGCAAGTAATTTCATCTCTCTAAGCCTCAGTTTCCTCATCAATAACCCAAGAGGGTTGAACTAAATGATCTCTAAGGCCCATTTCTACTGGAAGTCAGATAATTCTATGGTTCATTTCTCCTCCTAGAAAGCTATTAAAGTTAAGAACATTGCATGGCAGAGGACTAAGATGACATGGATCTATTAAATCAATTATTTCTGGATCTTCTCATTAATCTCATAATTCAACTCACCATTGCTTTTGTTTAGGTCAGGCAGCGTGAGACATCACTGGACAGAAATTTACTCCTTTGTTGAAAGTTTGGCTGAAAAATTCATAAGGTACAGTCTTTCAAAGTTGAAATCGGATTTTCCATCTCTTTGGAGCTAACATTTGTGTCCTCATTATATTACATAGACAGACTTGTCCTTTTAGTGGGACTGAGCCTAGAAGAGGACTCTTGAAGCAAGAGGAGGATAGAGGGTGGGGGAGAAGGCCAGAAGGAGCGGTAGGTAGCAAAATGAACCAGATTCATCCCTTAGAGAATTCATTTAAATTGCTATGATTATTAGAGAGCATCTGAGTATTGATACTTGCAAAGGTCGTGGTGGTGGTGGTAGGAAAGATGGCGACCTGCCCTCTTTTCTGAGCTCAATTCACTCTGCCTATGTTTAGTGTACTAAGGCCCAGGATAGTCTCTGTTCTAAATTAGTTTGGGGATGGAGGGTGGGAAGGTAGGTGGAGGGGAGAGAGACTTTGTAGGGCCCCTTCTCCTTTATCTGGAACCAAAATGGAAGGGAGCCAAGAAAAGACATGAGTCACACCCATTTTATTCTTCCTATTATTGACCATTTCAAAGAGGTGGAAATCAGAGGTAGACATGCTAGTAAGTTTTCTTTTCTGTAAAATGTACCAAGATTAATTTTATTGTACAAAATATTTTATTCCCTTTCTAGCCCAATGTTGCGGATGTCTTTCATTGTCTTCTCCTCCAAGGGAACTACCATCATGAAGTTGACAGAAGATAGGCAAGTACTTCCCTCCCCGGTTCATGGTATCCTTGGCCTTGTCTACATGGAGGAGATTCAGCTAGAGAATTGAGATAATTATGCAGATATCTCAGGATAAAAGTCTGCAACTGATGAAAAGTAGTATCTAGATGAGATATGGCAGAAGAGCACCTGTAGGGTTAACTTGACTCTGGGCAGAGTTGAGAAACAGATAAAATTTGTCTTCAGTACCTCTCATCTCCTATTTAATATTCCCCTAGATCACCAGTGTCCACATCAGGTTGAACAGTGAATTCTCATGATCTAAGTCTTTCCCTCATTCTTCCCTCCACAGACAATCAAAACTTCCCAGGGCAGCTAGGTGGTACAGTGGATAGAGCACCAGCCTTGGAGTCAGGAGGACCCGAGTTCAAATCTGGCCTCAGACACATAACACTTACTAGCTATGTAACTCAGGGCAAGTCACTTAACCCCAACTGCCTCACAAAAAAAAAAAAACCTTACCATTCCTAGGTCCAATCTCTATAAGACTTCCTCTCTGACAGGCAAATGGTAAATTCATCCTAGCCAAGGTGTTAATGACTGATAATGGCCTTAACCCTTTGAGATAAAGTTCTTATCTAGATCCCAAAAACATAACCAGTATTTGTTTTATTGTTGTTTGAGGGGCTTTTCCCCTCAACCATATATTAAATTCAAAGGGCATTTTTTTAAGTATTTATTATATACCAGGCAGTATGCTAGGCCCTAGTAATATAAAGAGAAAAACAGAAAACTCCCTGCCTTTAAGGAGCTTATATTCCATAGATGGAGAGTGTAGAAAATATGTATATAGATAATTAAATACAAAATATATATGAAGTAATGTCTGGGGGATGATGTTATCTACTGATGCTTCCTGGAGGAGGTGGTACTTGGGCTGAGCTTTGAAATATATAAGGGATTCTATCAGTTGGAGTGAGGAAGGAGTGCATTCTATGCATAAGAGAAAGCCTGTGCAAAGACTTGGAGATTGGAGACGTAATGTCATGCGCAGGTCGGGATTTAGAATCATAGATTTAGAGCTCCATAGGACCTTCAATATCATCTGATCCCACCACTTTCATTGACAAAGGGGCAGTGTGGGCCCCAGGACACACAAATAGTAAGTATTTGAGGTCCTCTGACTTCAAATGCGATGGATTTTCCACTGCTCAACTTCGCCTTTTCCCTGGATAACTCCACAAGCCTCTGCTTTCCCTTGCCTGGCAGCCAGCCCCAGCATTCGACTCAATCTATTCATTGCGCAGTCTTCATATATGCCAACTATGTTGGCCCGGGTCATCGCTGGGCTTTACAACCCATATGCTTTTAATAGCAGCTGACAAAGTTTATGTTGCTGCTAACAACCCAAGAATTGTTGCTAAATGGCATTTATATTTTACAGGAAAGTTCTGGTTTTCCAACTTTCGGTGATTTTTTTTAGAAAGATTATTTGTAATCGAGAGAGCTAAAAACACATTGGCTGGAGATTTGTATGGCTTTATAGCGCAAACCTGAACGAGGGAGGGCATAATGCTGAAGAACCTCGGGCTTCTGGGGTGGAGATAAAAATAAGCGAAATGAGTAGTTGTGGGGTAGGGATGAGAAGAGAACAGTAGAACAGAAAGAGAGAAATAAGAAAAGGACACAGAATGTAAGCTCCTTGAGGGCAGGGACTTCTGTTTTTTTGTCTTTGTTTACCCATTGCCTAGAACATAATTCCTGGCACATAGTAGATGTTTGCTAATTTTAAAAATGTTCATTTCAGGGGCAGCTAAGTGGCACAATGGATAGAGCACCAGCCCTGGAGTCAGGAGGACCTGAGTTCAAATCCAGCCTCTGACTCATAACACTCACTAGTTGTGTGACTCTGGGCAAGTCACTTAATCCCAATTGCCTCAGCCAAAAAAAAAATGTTTTTTTCAAACCTAGTCCTTTCAGCTGAATTGCAATCACAAAATACAACATTAAGAAGAGAAGGGAATAAGCACTTATAAGCATAATGATGATAATTAAAAAATAATAACTAGCATTTATTATAGTACCTTCTACATGGTAGGCCCTGTACTAAGCACTTTCACAAATATCTCAATGAATTCTCACAACAACCCTGAGAAGTAGGTGCTATTATTATCCCCATTTTATAGCTGAGGAAACTGAGGCAGACAGAGATTGAGTGACCTGCCCAGAGACACAGACCCAGTAAATGTCAGGGGCTGCATTTGAACTCAGGTCTTCCAGATTCCAGGCCCAAAGCTCTATCCACTGCGCCATCAGTTGCCTCTAGAGACAATCAGTAACATAGAGCATATGTACTTGATCATTATTTATGGTCACAGGTCAGGAAATGAAGCAGACTCTCAAAGATGTCTTCACAGAACAAAACAAATTAGGTCCTCCAATTTAGAGCTCCTCTCTATCCTTCACCCTTGCCTCCTACCTCCATCCCCCTTTACTGTGGTGGCAACCATGAACTGACTAGAGGCCAAGAACAAAACCCTTCTTTGAAAACAATGCAGCCAGTTAGAAAGAGGCCCAGTAGACCAGGGCCATTGGATAGCGTTCTTTCTTGTCCAAGCAGTTGGGACAACACATTTATTTTGTAATGCTTCAGGATGGGAACAGAAACACTAAAAAAAAACTTTATATTTTATTTCTTTATTTCAGAGAAGCAATCCGTCGGGGTCTAGAGGTCCTTCGGTATGAAGTGCCCGGAGGAGACACATTCATGCATAAAGGATTTGAAAGGGTAGAGACTGCAGGACCTGGGGATTTCATCTTGGGCTACAAATTCTGCTTTTATTGCCTTTGTTGGATTTAACTGAAGACCTAAAATATGTATTTCTTACTTCTTCTTTTTATAGGCGAATGAGCAGATTTACCATGAAAACTACGGAGGTAGGATACCTGTGTGTTTCCTTGTCATTGTTCTCATTTCCTGGTAGACATCCTTTCCCTGCCTTAGAGCTCGGGTTAAACAGTGCCAAAGAAAAAAAAGCAGGGTTTCGGGGGAACTAATTAAACACAGGAATTCAGTTGACAATAGCCAGTTTTGATTTTTTTTATTTGTTACCACCTGCAACAGATGCATTCCTATCTTTCCATTCATAAAGCATTTCCATTTTTTGAGTTCTGTTGACCTTAAGTGTTTATGACTGTGCCATCCACATAATGTAAGAAGATACTAGAAGAAAGCTGTCAGAATCAATGGTCCCCTTAATTTTAGCCTATACTGGTAACAGCATTTGAAAGATTAAAAAAAAGTTGGGGGGGTGTGGAATAGAGAAGGGGACTCAACTAATACTGAAGTCTGGACATTCCCTCAGTGTCCTAGATAAGTTAACTAAGTGAATGGTTCCGTACAAGATTATATCTGACTTTTTTTCCCGATTTCCTGGGACAGCTCAAAAGAATATGTCATCCTTAAATACAGGAAACAGATTCTAATTCTGAAGGAAGTACTGAGGAAGAATTACATAAATAGAACCAAGCACTTTGTGGAAATTTGAATGAAATATTTCACAATGCGACTTGGCCAGTGGAGTACTTTAGAAAAAAAAAAAAAAAACATTGGCTCTGAGTTCAGAGAACCTGAGTTCAAATCCTGACTCTAGATGCTTCCTAGCTATGTAAACTTGAGCAAATGAATTAACCTCCTTGAGCTAAAGTGCTTTATCTATAAAATGAAGGCTCTGAACTAGGTTACCCCTGGGGGTCCCTTCCAGGTCTGTGGTTCTAAAGTCTAATACTTTAGGACTGACAGGACTTCACATTCCCTTCCCAGCACAGATTTAAAAACAAAAAATGGTAATGGGCTATTTTACCCATAAAGTTTTACTCCCACCATTAAGTCTCTAGTTCATAACATTTTGTGACAAATAATCAGATTGTCTCACTAAGTAAACAAACTAAAATTTCCTTTGAAAAAAGAAAGAAACTAAGATTCTCTCTATTCTCTTCAACTGGCATCACCAATGCTTTGTGACTGGAATGATGATGGAGTCTTTATAGACAGAATATTTCTTAACTGCTAACAGAAGATTGGTGTATCAGACCAGAACCAGAACTAGGTGGAGTGAATAGGGCCATTTCTGAGGATGCCATATTTAGAGGGTGCTAACAGCACTCCCAATCCTTCAGCAACATAAAAACAACAGAATTTAGCACCTACTTCACAAAAATAATGAGTTAAAATAGGAAGCTTTCAGATAGTGCACTGAGGCGAGCTCCTTTTCTCCATCCCCTCCCCCTGCACATATTAACTTCCCTGTCAATGACCTGGGCTGGTGTCCCAGGGTCTCTGTCTACCCTCACTGGGTCAGTGTGTCACCTTCCACAGCCATCTGAGGCACCCTTCATGCTGCTTACTCTGTGAACGGCTTCTGGTACTTGCCCCACTGCAAAAATGCTTAATTCTACCCCTGTGCCGATGCCTTTGTTGACAGGTCTCCATACTGCAAGTGTGATCATTGCCCTGACAGATGGAGAACTGCAGGAGGAACAATTTTATTTTGCAGAGAAAGAAGTAAGTCTTATTTATCACCAACACTGACAGCATTTCCACCCAATTCATTACAATTTTTTGAGCTTCAAATATTGTTTATAGTTCCTTCTTGAGCTTCAAACTCACTTGTTTCTTTCGTCCAGGCAGACAGAGCCAGGGCCTTTGGGGCTATTGTCTACTGCGTGGGAGTCAAAGATTTCAACGAGACACAGGTAACTGGAACAAAAGTCCTTGCATTCTGCATTGTTGGCCAAGATGCCCAGGCAGCAGAACCAATGGTTATTTTATGGTAGCATTCATACTTTTAATAGTGACTTTTTAAATACTAGATTTCTTCACTCTAAAAAAGTCAGTGAGACCTTCAAGTACGAAAGGAGGATATGTAATTCCTCGTGAGTAAGTTGGGTGCTTTGGGAAACTGCATTAACTCTTCCTAAGGAGACATGAAATCAAGTAGATGCTTCAAGTCTCAGAATCTCAGAGTTACAGTCAGGATTGAGCTAGAGCTAGCTCAATTATTATTATTAAATTTTCTTCTTATTATTAAATTTAATTATTGTTGCATTTTCAGCGTGAGCATTTACATCTTGGAAATCTGCAAATTCATATTATATATATACATATATAAGAAATTTGTATAATTCATTATCAGGTCTTCATTATTATTTTGTTGATTGTCTAAACTAGGGCTTCTTAAACTTTTTCTACTTTTTTTGTTGGTGTCACGTGGCCTGAGGGTATGGGCGGTGCAAAGTGCACATGCTTTGTGTTCAGAACCAAGGCTGCAGTGAAGTTGTGAGATGCAACACAGGCAAGCACTGCCAGAAACACCTCAGATTCTTTACATGTTTGATTTTTAATTAATTTTTGGTTGTTGCACATTCAGAAACCATTTACTGTTGCCAAATTTTTCATGATTCCATATAGGGTCACAACTCACAGTTTAAGAAGTGCTGCCCTAAATGTAATAAAATCATGGAGAAAGTGTTAATAATACGGATTAAAATTAAAGGTATACCACAGGTATATTTTTTTTTTAAAAAATCTGGTTGTTAAACATTTACCAACACAATCCTGCTTACACAGGACCTCCGAGGTCTGTTAGTCCAACCCTAACTTGGACAAGAATCCCTTCTAGAGCATATCCCAACAAATGGTCATCAAGCCTTGTTGGATTCTATTGGTTACATTCTTTTATTTCCCAACTTTTCAGGAACCCAGCCACCCTAAAGTCAGTACAACTAAAATAATAGTAACAATGACAATAACCGCAGCAACTATTTTATGTAGTAATTTGATGTTTAGCATAGTCAAGTGCCCAGCATATAGTAGGCATTCAATAAATGCTTACTTACTTGCAAATGATACACAGTTGTGATGATGTATAGAGAGACACAATCTCACACAACTCATCTATTTTGACAGGTTTAAACAAAAGAGTAGCCTCTTCTAGTCTCTCCCTGGATTCATTATAACTCAGCTCCCTCCCCCTTCCAAGGCATGTCCAGGGAGGAGAGGGAGACTTTTAAAGAGATTCTGAAGTTTCTAGTGCACCAAGGTCCTTCCCACATGACCAGAAGTTGAAGCTACTCTCAATAGTTAGCTAAATCACCAATTCAGCTGGTTTTTCTAGGGCTCTGCTCCCCTAACTAGCTTTTCCCATGTGATTCTGGGCACTAACTTTGCTCATGTCCCCTGATTTTGTATTTCCTTCCTATACCCTCAGGACTTGGATAACACCCCTTGATTTTTACAGCACTCCCTATATCTCCATCAAGGATCTCCATGCATCTCTCAAGGAGGCTCATCCTCAAGCCTTGATCTCAAGCAGTGATTTCTTCTCAAATCACCATCACCTAGAATAGCAGCATACCAGCCATTCATTTATACTTCAATTTCTTTGGCTTCAGCCAAGCTGGACAAACCCCAAATCCATAAAGATTCTGAGGAAGGGAATTTGTTCAGTTGACAAAAATTTGAGTAATTTTTTTTATAACCTTTCTATTGGGGGTGAGGTTAAAATAAACAATATCCCTAAGGGCGAGCTATTGGGTATTGATAGAAAAAAAAGGATATAGTTCTTAGTACTTAATACTGAGAAGTGTGAATCTCCACCAACACTTGGACATTCGCCCTCTAATTTTTCTGTCAACTCATTGTTCTTTTCTTTGCAGCTATCAACGATTGCTGATAGCATTGATCACGTGTTCCCTGTTACGGGTGGATTTCATGCTCTTCGAGGAGTCATTGACTCTGTGAGTACAAGAGGAGTGAAGATGGTGGACTTTTTCCTTACTTTTGAAAAAATGAATCCCCATTTTCAGAGGCATAACCAGGGTGGGGTTATCAGCCTTTACCCACAGTATTGCATTTGAAAAGTCCTGACAGCTGTGCAGTCCTTTAGCAAAAGAGAAACGAGAGCCTAGGAACTAGTTAGCAAGAAAAATTCATTGAAGTAGGAAGTTACCAGATGATGGGATGAGACAGGTTCCTCCACATGTCCTGCTCTCTCTCTCTTCCCCTCATACTGCAGCAACCTTTCACCAGTATCTCAGGACTTCTTTCTCCCAACCACAGGGTGCTGGGCAGTGCCTCAAGCCCTCGTAGCTAAGGATTTGTTTCTTGCTGCTTGCTCTGGGTCTGGTTTAGGTAGTTGCCCTGGACCCAACAATTCCTAGTTATGGTTCTGACTGCTTTATGCTCCCAACTATTTGCTTTCTAGATCCTGAAGAAATCCTGCATTGAAATCTTAGCAGTGGAGCCTTCTAGTGTGTGTGCAGGAGGTGAGTTGGTGTCATTGAAGCTATAAAATTACTGTAGAGCAAAAAGACCATAGATCAATGCACATAATATGTGTTAACTTCATGGGTGACTCAGTAATAATAACAACAACAATAATAATAACAAATAACTGGAGTACTTGATGATTATACAGTTTTTAATACCCATTATCCCATTTGATCCTCATATCAACCTTGTAGGATATATAGTGCAAATATAATTATTTCCATTTTATAGATATGAAACTGAGGCTGGGAGAGGTTAAGGAAATTGACTAAGGTCACACAGATAGTAAAGGGAGAGAGCCTTCTGTGGCTGTCTGGTGCCCTTTATTACCAGATATGTGAAAAGGTGTTTGGAGAGCCAAGATTAATGTTTTTGCCCTGTATATCTTGAAAGAGCCTGAGGTGGTACTGTTGTGATTTCTTCATCTACTTCATGATAAGGTAACAATGATTACATGGGTTTAGGAGTTGAGAGAATTGACCCTCCTCTTTCCAGTCCTGTTTTCATCTCTTCGGACATCAATTACAGAGCATTGTAATGGGAATAGCGTTAGAGTGGGAGCCAGGAGAAACTTGGATTCAAATTCTGCCCTTCTATAGTCGTATAACTCCTAAAAGTCATTTCACCTTTGAGCCTCAGTTGCTTAAAATGTAAATGGAGATAATAAGACCTGTAGTATCTATCTCATAGGGTTGCTGTAAGGATCAAATAGGATGATGTATTTGTAGCAATTTCTCTGGGCTCATTCTTCGAGTTTCTACTCCCACTCCCACTGATTAATTGAGTCCTCAATTAACTATTTCTCTCCTCAGGGTTCTATCATTGAGTAAGTCTGAAGGGCTGGGATATTATAATACTATTATGACTATTATATATTATTATTACTATTATTCATGAGTACCCATCTTCAATGTTAATACTGATTGACCAATTGCTTATCAATTAGCTCTTACAAAAAGATATTTGCTGGGAAGGTATAGCAAGAAGGGAAGTTACAAAAAACATCCCCTGTTAGAGAAATGTAAATTAAAACAACCTTGAGATATCATTTTATACCTACCAGACTGGCTAAAATGATAGAAGCAGAGATTGACAAATGTTGAAGGAGATGGGGAAAAATTGGGACACTAATTCATTGTTGGTGGAATTGTGAACTGATCCAACCATCCCTGGAATTATGCCCAGAGTTATTAAACTACCTTTACCCTTTGACCCAGCAATACCACTATTTGGTCTATTTCCAAAGATAATTACCGAAAAAGGAAAAGAACGTATATGTTCTAAGATGTTTATAGCAGCTCTCTTTGTGGTGGCAAAGAACTGGAAATTGCAGGGATATCCGTCAATTGGGGAATGGCTGAACAAATTGTGGCATATGATTGTTATGGAATACTACTGCGCTTAAGAAATTAAGAGCTCAATGATTTTAGAAAAACATGGAAAGCCTTGCATGAAGTAATGACAAGCGAAATGAGCAGAACCAAGAGAATATTGTATACAGTAACAGAAATGTTGTTTTAAGAATGACTGAGCAAATAAGTTATTTTGACTATTATGAATATCTGAATTAGCTATAAAGGACATACGAAGAAAGTCACTATCTACATCCGGAGAAAGAACTGAAAAATAGAAATATACATGGAATAATTTTACACATATATACCTATTTGTGTCTAACATAGCCATCTTTAGGGCCGGTGGGAGGAGAAAAAAAGAAATTTACATGATAATTTTATTGTATATTTGAGAGGATTAGCAAACCATGCATAGTAGATTTGCTGTTTCATGTGCAATCATCTTTTTTATTGTACTATGTTATGGAAATGCTTGTTTTATTCCATAAATTTTTAAAAAATTAAAAAAATAAAACATCTCTCAGGTGAACCCACTGCTGACCTGGAGGATTACTCCTTACCAGATTCAGCTACTGCTGCTACTCCCGCCCTGCTTATTGGCAGGACCTTCTCAGTTACTTTGATTTGCCAGTCTCACTTGAATCCCAGAAGACTCAGTTGCCTAAGATCAGGAAAAATCAAGCAAAGGTGCCATGCGTTCATAAACGCATGGCAGCCTGATGAGAGATAGGGCTTCCTCTTCCCTACCTCCCACCCCCAGCAGCACACAGCTATCTTAGTTACTTAAGAGCTGCCAAAGAAGAAAGAGACCACAACTCTCAAACCTTTTCTGGCTCTGAAGTTAATTAGAAAAATCCTCTCCACACTGCATTAACCCTTCAGTCACTCGTGGCCAGAAGAAGGCATCAGGCCTCCACATGTTGGATGCGTGGCAGCCAGGGCCTGCCTATGTATGGTCTAAAGACTGGGCCTTCATTGACTAATGCCCCCATTACATATAGAAAACACTTTATGCCTCTTATGGTGTTGTATCATTATTAAAGATTTTGGGCTTCCCAGATGTTAAAAATCTGAGGAAAGCTACACAGAGCTACTGATTGTAGAAGAGTGTCATAGTGTCAATAACTGGCAAGAGTAGTATCCATTCTCTCTGTTTTGCACTGGCCTTTTGCATGCCAGGCAGAAAGGACATTTCCTTAACTTGGTAAAAGAATGTGCCTCCTGAGGTATTCATGGTCATTAAATGCCTTTTATGTTGGGTTCACTAACCATGCCTGTTTTGGATTCCTTCCGCTCTGCCCCAGCCTCTACCCATGTTCTTTCAGGTCTAACAGGATGGTCCACAAGTGTTAGAATCAGCAGCAGCTTGCTCTAACATTGTGTGGGCTCAGGATCAGCCTATTGAAAGTTATTTTGAACTGGCATGTTCTTAAAATGTGCAAGACCAACCAACCTTCATGCTGAAACTTGGCTATGACTCTGGAACAGTAAAAAAAGTGTTTCCAATTGAGTAGGGGATCTGAACAGACCAGAAGTTTAGAATATCTCTCTTCAGTGGAATTGGTGTGTTAGAAAAATCATAATCAGAGTTTATTAAAACATGCTATGGGGGATTTATGTGATGTGTGATAGGTATTCTGAACCCAGCTCATAAACTTTCCCCTATCGATATGACCATGACCTGGCAACAGTAACTTGTCTCATTTTGATGAGTGAGGATGGGCCAGTAGGTTTGGGGCAGAAACACTGGTCTTTCAAGCAAGATGATTTGAAGGAGCAAGCTGGGAAGGAAGTTCTGTTGAATTGTTATTGAGGATGTTTGAAAAGGGAGGCATATTTAGTATGGAAGGGCGATGCTGTAATCACTATAAAAGATTTCTTTCTTTTCAGAGTTTCCAGTTTCTTCATATGTAGAATGAGGGGGTTGAACTAGCTGCTTTCTAACATTCTATGATTAATTCTTGCCATGAAAATCTGCTTAACTACTTGTTGTGTCTAGTTCATGCATTTGGGAAAGAAGTGGGAGGATCCAGGGAATGAACTCAAGGGAAAAAACAGGGAGAGGGTGTTAGAAAGAAGAAAGGAAGGATCCAGGAAGTATCAATTCTATAATTCCAAATTTTACAGGGTTCTAGCTTCTTTGGGCTGAACTCAGTGCTGTTCTCATGTCCTGATTCCTTCTCATTACATTCCTGGGGAAAAGGTTGCATCCAGGAAATCTCTGGGTCCTATGTTATTATAGAAAGAAGATGTTTGTAAAATAAAGAGGCAGTTTGGCACAGGGGGTAGAGTCCTACTTCTGACACATGCTGGCAATGTGACCTCAGACAACTAGTCTCGAACACTCTAAGTTGCTGAGAAGTTGCCAACTTGCATTGGTAGAGAGAGTTTCCTTTGCCTTGGAGTTCCCTCTGCTAAAGAAATCACAGGTATGGTACCTATCCTTAAAAAAATAAGAAGTCAACATGATATTTGTAAGAAATTTTAGTGTTTGGTTGGGTCTCCAGACAGGTGGCTGCTACTACTTTAAGGGTTGATTAGAAGTAATTAAATAATTAGAAATAGAAGAAGAAACTCTAAAACAGAGGTGGGGAACCTGCCACCTCTAGGCCACATGTGGCTCTTTAGGTCCTCAAGTGCGGCCCTTTGACTGAATCCATACTTCACAGAACAAATCCTTTTATTAAGGTTCCCCACCCCTGCTCTAAGAAGAAGCTGTTCAACATTTACTCAATTCAGTTTAATTCATCAAACTTTTATTAAGCACTTACTTTGGCTTATTCTGTTTCATGTGGGCACAGTGAGATAGATTGAGCACTCTGAGGTCATTTCCCCCTACCTTAATAAAAAGCATTTGCCACACCCCTCCCCTCCACCACCACCCCGGATAATGAAGATATTCTTCCTCACATGATCTGAATATCTCTTCTGTTCTAATTTAGGACAATTTTTATCTAGTTTGGTCTTCCAAGAAGAGAATAGCTCCTAAGCATCTTTATAATGTCCTTTATCTGCCTAAGTTGGGCTGACTTGGCCAAGGCATTAGTCAGTCAGTCCATCAGTAAACATTTACAAAGTACCTACCCCATGCCCGACACTGTTTTGAACTCTGAGGATAGGAAAAGAGGCAAAAGTCAGACCTTCCCCTCAAGGAGCTTACATTCTGACAAAGGGGACAATATGCAAGCAAATCTGTACAAAGAAGGCTATATAAATGATAAATAGGAAATAATTAAGAGAGGGAAAGCACAAGAATCTAGAGGGGTTGGGAAAGGCTTCTTGAGAAGATGAGAGGAAGGCTTAACAACCTCATAATATGTATTTTTATTGATTCCTTCTTTTGTTTATTCATCAAGCATTTATTGAGTGCCTGTTGTGTGCAGGGTACTATGCTAGGTGCTAAGGGAGATACAAAAATGAACCTGTGTGACCCTGGGCAAGTCACTTAATGTCTAGCTGCCTCAGTTTCCTCAGCAGTAAAATGGGGATAATAACAGCACCTCCCTCAAAGGGGTTTTTGTGAGAATCCAATGAGACAACCTATGTAAGGCATTTTGTAAACCTTAATGTGCTAGATAAATGCTAACTTTATTGGTACAGGTGAAATCCCACCATGCTGAATTGCACAGTACCTTCAAATT